TTCAACTCCCAGAATTCCCCAGCCAGCGAATGCTGGCTGGGGAATTCTGGGAGTTGAAGTCCGGACATCTTCAAGTTGCCAAGGTTGGGAAACACTGCCTTATAGGACTGACTTACCGGTTACCAATATCAAAGACCAAATTTTGTATGCCTGTATGCCTTCCAAAAGAAGGCATACTGTTTTGCTAACTGAAGGATGCACCCAACTGCGATCATGGGGATTAACTCCGTATTGCAGGAACAGCAGCCTCTTAAATAACGTCTCTAAAACCTAACTCGCAAAGGTGCCAGGTGAAAGCGTAGGTGAGTTTTGGCTCGCCTGCCGAGCCAACTTAGGACACAAATTTCTCTTAGCTACCAAGTATCGGCCTGCAGACAATTTTTTTTCCTCTCCCCAAAAACGTCAAATGATTTATCAAAAATTCTATTCCCCCCCCCCACTGAGGTAGATGTCAATTTGGAGGAAAAGAAAGTACAACAGGGAAAGAGAGAAAGGGGAGGGGGATTAGCGGTGGTAACCCCTGCCTTCTAATCTTTCAAACAGGGGTATGAAACAGGACTGCTTCAAGTCAATTAGTGCCCCGTTGGCTTTAAAACTACTCCCTTGCTTGAAGACGCCAAGCCTATTTGGAGTTAGGTTAGTAGTTAGACTAAGTTACAGAGGCTTCTTAGATTGCCCGCCAGCCTTCAGTTCACTTCAACACTCCTGGAGGACACAGAGAGTAGTGGCTGCTGGAGGCTGCGACGAATTGCATTTCTCGAAGGCAACAGGCTTGCCTAGGTAGTCAATGCACAAGGCACTTCGTGTCCGCATTCCTTCTCCACATGTTTGGGAACAGGGGGACCATGGCCCCATCTGCCAGATGGGGCAAGGAAGACCACTGCATGGTTTGATGTCCTCGGGTTGGAGGGCCTTGTCACAGGTGGAGGAAGGCTGCCCTTCCACATCCAGGCATTCTACTGTCCGCCGTTGCCAACCTGAGCTACAGGACTTGGAGCACTCTGACCAGTCTCCCAGAACCCACTGTGAGGTCAACAAGGGTTTGATCATGTTGGCCAAGCTTTTCTCCTTGATCTTCTGCTTGTTGAATTGGAGGTCCTTGGGGATAAAAAAGGTATATTTCACCTTGGGCGGAGGGAATGCCTTGGGGAGGAACATCTCGCTGGAAACGGTCAACACCTGAACGACAATGGATTCGGGGAGCTGCTGGTAACTCTGGAGGCGTTCCAGGGTGGTCAGGGAGCCGCTGTACCTCAGGACAGTCCCCTTCACAAAGATGTCTTGTTCCATAGCTGAGACGGTGAAGTTTCCGTTCAGTAGGTACTTGCCATCCAGGGTCCGCAGAGCTAAATAATTCCCATCATGCCTTACTCCTCGGCTGTGTTGCTTGATGTCAATGTTGGTCGCCCCTGCTGGAATGGTGACGATGTCGTTGTAGCCAAACCTACAGAGATGAAACAAATGGGTGTTATTTTCAGTTAAACCAGGGCTCAGCAACCCATGGCTCTGGAGCTGCATGTGGCTCTTTTATCCCTTTGCTGCAGCTCCCTGTCACCGGTCGGTTCCACAATTGATAGGGCTTTCAGTTAGGACAGGTAGAGGAAAAAGGACGCCGCGCTAGGAGGAGACTGTATGGTGGGGGAAAGGGACTTCCAATCGGCTCCAGAATTGAATGGGGGGCTTCCGGTTAGGACCTTTGTGGCTCTTTGAGTGTTTAACATTGCCAACCTCTGAGCTAAACAGCAGGGTGAACAATGGTCTGCTGAAGAACAACATGTATCACTCCATAACCAGAAGCATCCCTGCTCCTGTATTTTCTCTTGGCTATTCCAAGAGGCTAAAAGGCTTTAAATTGTAACTGACCTTGGGATCTCCAAAGACTCAGGAATTAAGGAATACCATATTTTTCAGTGTATAAGATGCACCGGAGTATAAGACACACCAAGATTTTTAAGAGGTAAATTTTTTTAAAAAAAATTGCACTCTGCAGATTTCCCAAACCCTCTGCATGCCTCATTTTTTTGTGAAAAATGGGGCATGCAGAGAATTTGAGAGGCCTGCAAAGTGCTCCTGGGGGCTGGGAGGGGGGAAATGAGCAAAAAAGGCCCATTTTCTTGCTAAAACAACCCATTTTTTGCCAAAAAATGGCATGCAGAGCTTTGGGGGACTGGTAGAGTGCTCCTGGGGGCTGGACGGGGGCAAAAATGAGAACAAAATGGCCCGTTTTTGCCCTCCCCAGCCCCTGGAGCACTTTGCAGGCCTCCCAAATCCTCTGCAAATCATTTTTGTGAAGGGGGCGGGGTTTCCGGAGGCCAAAAATGCTGGCGAAAGGTGTGTCTTATACTCCAAAAAATATGGCAGTAATGTAAATACCCTATGCTTGTAAATGCCCTATGCACTACATCATTAAATTCCAGGGATATCAATGGGGTAAAATGAAACCATTCTTATCCACATCATCTTCTGCTATGTTATTCTAGTGCTTTTTTTTGCATTGAGGGTGACCCTTTGCCATCAAAAGGGGCAACTGGCCCCCAAAATTTTCAGGACATACAAATGGTGGGGCCAAAATAAAATGCAAAACGGACGTCAGTTACATATAAAATACATTTAACTATAAACATGGATACTCTGATTTTTTTCCTTCTTTTTACAACCCTATAATCCCTTTTATTGGGGCGGAGTCAGGACGACTGAATGGAGCTGAGCATTTACTGACCGGATGCCCCTCCTGATGCCTGCAGATATTTTCTCCTTGCGCCCTGATGGAGAAACATCTGCCCTTGCTTAGGCTTGAACTCTCAACTTCCAGAGTGTGAGGTGAGTGTCTGGACCTCTAGGTCCCTCTAAATATGGATGATTAATCCTGGTTATTTAATTTTCTCCACTCTTTTCATATTAGCATTTAAAGTGCAAAAACAATTTGGAGAAAGTCCCATTCTGCTGTAGGAAGGATTTCTGGGTTCTAATCCCAACGGAAGATTTTTTTCCCTGTGTGTGTGTGTGTGTGTGTGTGTGTGTGTGTGTGTTCATCAGAACTCTATACTCAGCTCTAACTGGGCACTGTGTATTCTACACCAAGCTTTGCAAAACATTTGTGGCATTCTCTTACTTGGATTTGTTGAGTGAGCCGGATATTTTTCTGCAAGTTGAGCAGTCCCCACCACAAACTCCACATTTGTCTAGTTTCTTGGAAGAACCAATAATATGATCACAACCAGCCTTGATACATTGTCCATGCACACAGATAGAGAGTGTATCAGGTGCACATGTTGTCCCGTCAATCACCTGATATAAAAAGAAAGGAGAAATAAAATGAATTCGGTCTACCCATTATCACGCTTTAGTGTATTTCTGGCTGAAAAGACATTTGTTTAAATATAGTTCCTAGGAGTATCTCTTTAGAAACTTGGAGTGTATGCAAAGCAGGGGTGGGTTCCTGCCAGTTCTAACCTCTTCCATAGAAGAGGTTCCACAAATCTACAGTGCCGTTTAGAACCGGTTCCAGCTCCCGCCCCCCACCCATCCGCACATCATCAAGATGAGGAGCGAGAGGAGGAATTCTGGGAGTTGAAGTCCACAAGTCTTAAAGCTGTCAAGTTTGAACACCNCAAAACCATTAAGAGATTTTTTTTCAAAACCATTAAGAGATTTTTTTTTCAAAATCATTAAAGATTATTTGTAGCCAATCAGAATGAGAATTATTATACTCAGATTGGCTGTGTAGCCAATCAGAATTAAAGAATTAATGTTGAAGTTATTAAAGTTGAGAATTAGAGAATTAAAAGTTGAGGATTCAGCAAATGAAGAGGCATAGTGAACGTTGCAAGGACAAAAAGGGAATTCATTTTTCAGGACTTCTAGATTTGATCATGGAAAACACGAATGCCAATCAATCATGGGAAAGGGCTAATTCAGTAGAATAAAGACCACCATCATCTTTCAAGAGTATATAGACCAGGTGTTTTAGTATGACGTTGTTAACATCATTTTGAGCACAATGCCTAAAACAGAAAGAAAGCAGCTAGAACTTTGCTACCCATTGTAAAATAGTGGTAATCTGTTAATCAAGCACCAATGTCCTGTTTCACCTACTGTATATGAGCCTTGATTTGCTTTAGTCTGAAAATTAGAATGAAGACAAAAAATCTCGAGACGTTAAGAGATATAACTGTCAATACTGTCAACCCATCCATTTGGGTTGCATTAAAACTGGGACATCTATTTACAAATAATAAGGAATCTGATAAAAAGGTTATCTCCATTTCAAACCCGAAGAGCCAACGCTGTTGAAGATGTCTCTGTGGCCACGTGGTTGGCATGACGAAGCGTCGAAGAGGTGCACGGAACGCTGTTACCTTCCCACCAAAGGTGGTCCCTATTTCTCTACTTGCATTTTTTTACGTGCCTTTGAATTGCTAGGTTGGCAGAAGCTGGGATAAGTAACTGTAACTCACTCCGTTGCACGATGCTAGGGATTCGAACCGCCGAAGTGCAGACCTTCCTGATTGACAAGCTCAGCGTCCTAGCCACTGAGCCACTGCATCCCTTATAGCAGTGTTTCCCAACCTTGGCAACTTGAAGATGTCCGGACTTCAACTCCCAGAATTCCCCAGCCAGCGAATGCTGGCTGGGGAATTCTGGGANGTCACATGGCCAGCAAGCCACTCCCACAAAGCAGGCCACACCTACAGAAGAGGTTCTAAAAAAATTTGAAACCCACCACTGATGCAAAGCTATTGGTTTCAGTTATGGTTGGTTCTTGTTTTAAGAATAATGTTCTTTATGCTTCCACTTTTCCATCCATTGATGGATATTTCCATGTACATTTCACACATATTCATTTGTTCGGTTCTTACTGTTCATAATCTGCATGCTATTGAAAAGCATTTTTTAAAATATTGTATCAACTATATTGCATTATAAGCCCGGCCTGAATGATCTATATATAACTTCGTACATCTTGTGCTACAAAATTCTCAAACATGTGTGTTTAGGCACGAGTGCATACGTTCAGATTCTTCTGAACATTTGGTAAATGTGTGCAAATGTGGCAGACGGCTGTAATAATTCTGATGGATGGGAGTTTTCATCTACGCCTCCAGCTATATATAGATTTTTCTCCCAATTTTATAGGAAACATGGTTTTTCCTCCCAGCCAGGAGAACATAGTTGTATTGGTGCCCACACTGGCAACAGGGAAATTTGGAAAAGTTTTTAGTAAGCAGGAGGTTTTGAAAGCTGAAAAAATGGTGGATGCATAAACAGAATTCTTACTTTGGTCTCAAAGACTTTGAATTCATTCCCTCTTTTCGCCCGGCAGACTAACTTGCAACGATCTCGAGGAGACACTCCAGCATACATGGGGACCCATTCTAGCAAATTCCCATTCAAGTCGGTGAAGTTGTATCTGTCATATTTCTCGCACTGGTGCTCTCGAAAGCTTTTGCCTACAATGGAAATGAAAGGAGCCCATGTGAACACGGATACATGCACAGCACGAAATCTCATTTCCAATGTTTCATGTGAAAGCAAACATCACAGTCAAACATTACAGTCACACCCAATGGTTTGCTATGGGTGCAGAATTGCAGAAAACTGGCAGTAAATTCCGATTTTCGGCAAAACCATGATAAAATATGGTCATGTGACTGTGGGATGCCGTAAATGGCTGCAAAACCAGCTGGGTTAACACAAGCTTGTCAGAATATTCATGAACTGGCTGAGGCATGGTAACAAGGTCAGCCAATGAATAGGGCTTAGTAACAAGGTCAGCCAATGAGGGCTGTTTGGAAAGTGAAAGAGTTTTGGAGCCAGGGCATGGCTTAGCCCTATAGCCAGGGGTGGGTTCCGGCAGTTGCTACTGCCGGTTCGCTTGTGGGCATGTCGCGGGCATGCACTCTTGATGTGCGCTGCACACGTATGCACAATGCAATTAAAATTGCTCTGCACATGCTGAGAAGCAAAAAGCAAGATGGTGCCGCCTATGGCGCCGCCTGGAGAACTGGTTCAGGGGCGTGGCAGACCTGGGTCACTGCCGGTTCCAGCAACCCAGGCTGCCAAACCACTACTGGTTTGGCCAAACCGGTCTAAACCGGTAGGAACCCACCATTGCCTGTAGCTCTGAGTCTGTGCAAGAGAACTAATCTAGTCTGCTCTCTGAATTGAAACTGGAAACCAATCTCTCCTCTCTACCACATTGGAAGAATCTGGTGTTGGTATTGTACATTTATTCATATATTATGTATATAAAGAAGTTAATGAATCCTGCTGAATCAGTTCTCTCTCTGTGCTTTCTAGGTTTGAATTTTGCAACAAACTCTG